AGTTTACCTGAATGGATGCTGAGTTTAAAACAGACTGTTTGCTGTGAGCCTGCACGAGTCATCCGTGGTTTTGTTCTTGGTCATTTTACAACGTGAAGGGATGCTGAGTTCAGAACAGGCTATTTGCAGTGAGCCTACATGTGCCCGGTGCTATTAGCCAATAGCTGTAGAGACGAAGATGTAGTCCATTATATCTCTGCTGTGCAAGCTCATATTAGTTTGATTTTGCTCACGGCCACGTAGAGGGCCTAAAAAGTTTCGTATAATCACCGTTTTATGTAAATGGAGCTACTTAAAATCCTGCAGTGCAAGGCGTTGTTCGTTTTCAAGGAGTGGATCAGTTTTTGTTTGGAGGAAATATGTTCTTATATAGACTGCCCTTAAAACAGGCTAGACTGGTCGTCCAGATTCGTTTGTACATCCCTTTTTCCACTGCAGTGTGTCGTTGTGATTTTTATGTATTGATATGGTAGTTCGATATTCTGTACCAGGTAATAGCTAAGCACTCAACCTGTTGTTTCTTTTTGGCAGTTTCTCAGTGGAATGCTTGACTTTCCTATATTCAAGCGTTTGCTTTACACTTATATTTTTTATTCAGGTTAGATCTAAATGTAGTAATATATCGTTAGCGTTCATGATGAATTCTCATTTCCTTCTTTTTTGTAGTGAACTTGCTAATCCATTGTTGAGGACATAAAACAGTCAGTGGTGTAGTATTTATTGCCGGCGCGATTCGCTTCACAACGGATATTCACGTTCACAGGTGATAGGCCATATAATTGACATAGCTGGGTTGCGCAAAGCGTCAGTCCTGAAGTTCCTAGCAAGTCCTTGATAGCACCCAACTTTCATGATCTTCTCTGCTAACGGCATGTGTAACCCGGCTATGTCATCGGTTATATACCATCAGTATGGTTTCGTATCCTCAGCTACAAATCAGCAAGTTAACCACAATTTTAATAACGATTCCAGAACGTTAAATCTGATTCCTTTCCTGTGTAATGAATTGTTTCCTACCTATCAGTAAACTGTATAATCGATGCGTTTAGCTGTGCGATGCATGTCTCTCTCAAAATACCGAAGGAGATGGAACAGGTTGCGACAATATGACGGTTGTGATAGTGATGGCCAAGAATCATTCAAACGCTGCTTAGCAGCAGACAAAAGCATGGAGAAAACGATCGGAACCGCACGTCTAAAATTGGTTACTGACGTCAACACGGTCGTTCAAGAATCGTGTATTGATGAAGTAAAGATTCCTTGGATGTTTCTCTTGTATTTATTACCAGAATTTGTGTACATTTCGGTTTCTGATGCATTTCTTGAATTTTTTTGAAAGTAAACGGTTTCCGAAAAGATTATTGCATCATTTCACAAATTAGTTAATAACGAAAATCTCGAATTATCAGCCTCTATGATAAATTTCCATCATTTTAGAGAAGCAGCCCTTGCTGTGAACCAAGTTTTACTATCTAGGTAGCTGTATCTCAGGGCTGTTTTACTGCATATGCAAACCATCAGATTAGAGAACGTACTTGATATTTAAGTTCTAGATTACTTGAAAGTGCATGCAAAATGTGTTGTATTAGTGTACAGGGTAGCATAAAACCATTTAAAGAAGCCATAAAATAACGTCACGAAACTTGGCGCCGAATGGTTTTGCTTTAGCTACTAAGATGATACGATATGTATATCGCACTACAAATACTGAAATAATTTTCGCTCTGCAAATTCCTCAAATGAGACAGCAGCATATTCTGTGGCCAGATTTAGTCAAAGAAAATAAGATTACTCGTATAACTGAAAGTTTAAAGCTATAAATACAAAGAATCAGGGTTATTCATTACATACGTCTCCAAAAACAAATTATGAATTGACTTTTCATACTTCCAATATTAAGTACAGAATCTTTCTGGCAAAGCGAGTGATGCTTCAACGATGAATTGAAATTTCTGCCATTATGGAAAGAATAAATTTAGTAGTCATCCTGCCCTGCGCAATTCGATAGAAAGGCTACATCCACACGTAATCAAAATGGAACTTTTAATCCCTGTGAAATGTTTCAATGACAAATGAAATATTCAACGGTGAATCACTCAAATTAGATAATAGAACCGGCGACGGGCATTCAAAAAACCTTAATTGCAAGTACAGTTCAAGGCGATGTACGGCGAGTTATAACACGATCGGTTATTTGCGTGAACAAATTCAACCAGAAAACAAATAAACAAAACACTGCCCATGTTAACATAAACAAATAAAAAAGAATAACTGAAAGGCACATTAATTTATCACGTGAATAAAAGAACAACAACGTAGCCTTAGGCTCGGCGTTGACCCCAGACCCGCGCACTGGCATTCATTGTGCCCGCTTCGTTGCCTATTGCTGGAAATTCCTGGATGTTGGCCACGTCAGGGGGTATCTGCTGGTCCGCCGATACAGCATCAGCTTTCCCTTGTTGCCATGGAGCGTTCACAATTTCAAGAATTGGCTGCTCGCCTCCCAACGTCTGTGAATTTGCCATTCGCTGCGGATCACGATAAGCATAACGATCGACCAGGTCCTAAACAAATATGAGCCTTCAAATATCACTTGTAAAGAAATGCTGGTTTCACATACATGCTAAAACCACAATATACATTCAATGGCGTAGCGTAAATGAGTGACGATGCTCCATGCTCAAAATAAATAATTTTATCCGTCAAAAAGGACCAATACGCAAAGTCTGTCTCATGATCAATCAGCAACTGTAGTCTATGACTGTTGTATTACCAATTCAGATGCGCTGAAAATCAATAAACAGCACAATCATCATAAAACGCTACTTTAGACTATAACAAATCAGTCAACGTTTTAAGCCTCGAAATTACTCATCAGTCTGTATAGCAGTAGCACTCATATACACTCGCCTGCAAATACTCTTCTTCCATCTTACGCAGCTGATCGATACAGTCGTACACGGAGTCCTCATCCTGGCCGGCAACGACAACCAAATTCGGATCAGGGCTGTCGTGTTTAGGAAGGCGGATTTCTACGTTGAATTGGTCCACTATCTACAATGGAAACAATAGCCTATTCAGCATATTTACGATCTGTACCTTCTTGATGTTCTTGCCCTTCTGTCCAATCAAGCGATTATGAATCCGACAATCGAGCGTTATCTCTTGAGTGAACAGAGATGCTTCATCTTCAACCATTTTATCTATTTCTTCTTTGCACTCGTCAGCCTTTTCCGCGTAACCTGTTGATCACGAAACAATTATTATGATATAATAAAATAAAGAACAAAAATGTACACGACTTCTTTACGCGGGAGGTGATATAATCTTTTGGTAAGTCACAAACGGGAAGACAACGCATAAATGTTCCTTAATAGGGACATCTGACGTTTCAGACCAAGCTCGGTCCATCTTCAGAGTACAATTCAGAGTTAAGAACATTTTACTTCTCCGTACGGACCGAGCTTAGTTCTAAACGCTAGATGTCTCTAAGTAAAGAACATTTTATGCGTTGTCTTCCCGTTTGCGACTTAATTAATAATAAAGAGCAACTACAACATGAATAAAAATTTCAGGAAACCTCATAATTTAAGGTCAGGCGCACTAGAAAAAGTCCCTCACCTTCACTACACCACGACAGAGATATTTAAAATTTGCTGACATTCGCCAAAACGAATTTTCAGCCCAGAAACGAAAAAGGAAACATCAAGGCTGAATATATAAGTTGTACTGAAATTCATATCAACCTCAAAAGCCTTCATACAAACTTTAATGGTTCAACCACGCTGCGTGATTTTTCGGTCACGGAACTGGCAAAATCTCAAGGTTAAGTACAAAAATTCAGACGAATTTTGATCATGCTACACGAACTAGCTTTTTTAACTATTCATCTTGACGTAAGCATTTAAACAAGCTGTCCTTCAGATAATTTAAATAACCTACGAAAAATTATATCATATATCGTTCAATTACCGGTGATTGTAATTTCACAGACTTCGTCATCATTAGTTGGAGGCACAGCAATCTGAACACCGTATTTGGCACGAATACGCTGGATCTCGCGTCCTTTTGGTCCAATTAGCTTCGGTATGTAGGCAGCCGGCACTGAGACCTTTGTACTATAGCTTCTAAGCTCCTAAGATGCTTATCGTTTTAGATGAAAATGGAACCAGTTTATTGCAATGTAGAAAACAGAAGCGACCATAATACCGATCAACAAAGGAATGACTTTATATCGACGATAACAAAAGCGAAACCTGATGGAGCCATGTTAGCTCATGGAAAATGATTCCTAGGACAGGAGGGAAAACTGACGAAAATTACTGTTTACCGAATAAAATCAACTCTGAACAGATTTTATCTCAGTATGTATCGGTTTATCAATAATTTACTTCTGATTATGACTGATGTCTGTCGATAAAGCTGATTTATCAGATGTTTCAGTGTTCATGTTCATATCCGTGGAAATGAAAGAAGCGACGTAAAATGAAAACGACTTTTTTACTATTATCAGAATGGATCCAACGGGAAGATGCAGTTCGAGGAAAAAACGGATATTATGAAAGATGCACGGAAAGACACGAAAAACCTGAAACCGGTATTACCAATTTGTCTATGACAAATAACCACGAGGAGTTATTGGCAGAGCAGACAGCCATCTGCAAAGCTCAATACGGAAGTGGCCCATTTGTAATAAGTAACACATCAGTAACATCAACGATGACTCAGAAAGAAAAAGAAAAACCAAGTTTGACGAATTTTTAAAAAAAGTATTGAAAAACCTGTTGCAATACGCAGATGGCATGTTGCTAATATTTAATTTAACGCCCGAAAGTTCAGTGTTAAAAGAGCAAAATTGTACAACGTCGTTCTTCAACTGTGCTGTACGCGGGACACTCACTTCATCGTTTAAAATATCAATACAACAGAAATTAGCTCACTAGTCGGTGAATAAATGTGCTACCCCGTGGGGAAAGTCCCCAAGGCTTGATTTATAGAATGCAGCAATAAACTTGGTAAATATTTCATAACGCAACTGCCATGTTTGGCTCGCAGTTTGCCAGCAGATGCGGCCCATCTGCATATCCGACAGCTCGTCTCTGATACTATCAAGCCATAAACATGCCGGCCATGACATTATTCAGTGCCTTCCGAACTCTATTTGTATTCGTCCTAACATCCTCCAGCAAATGTGCATTCGTGATCTTATCAGTCAGTCTACAGCAGAGTATATTGAGTCAATATGAGCGTTCCAATACATTCAGCGCATTCTCTTCCTCCTTGGCAAGGGTCCACGTTGCTGAGACATATAATAGTACTGGTCGAATAGCTGTCATATATAAGCAGACTGTCACTGACAGCGGTTTACGACAGATTTTGCTGCAGTGTTTTATACGCAATTCGACCCTTGTTGATTCTTTCCTGGACAGTAGATTCACAACTGCCATCGCTAGCGATCATCCACACAAGATCGTGATTTCGATCTTAATTCAGCAGAATTTTTAACTAATTTGCCCTAATCCTTCTAAAACTCCTTCGTAGTCTGAGCGCACTCTGACTCCAAAACCATATATGATTTCTTCGGTCTTAATAATACATAAGATGCCTGACTGTCAGGAGAGTACATTTTTGTGATCTCATCTGGCTTTAATCGCGTTTCATGGAGACATGTGATCGGTGCGTTTAGACTGTTCAAGGTTCTAGTGATGGAAGCTTGCCCGTCTTCACCTTTCAGGGACACACTTCAAGGGAACAATATTTAGCATTTTCAGTAGCTGAATCAAGTTCTGCGGTATCCCGAAAGGGGTCTTTGGGTTTAGACAGATACATGGCTATCGATGACAACTGCGTGGAAATGCAGTCAGCAGATGATGTCCGGTCATCCACCGGAGGGATCTTGGCATCATGACCGGATATTTATAGCACAGTATTAATCCAGGAGGTAACACGTGGAGGCAGAGTCAAACACCCTACTTCCTACCCCAGAGTGTCCCATAAGCATTCTAAAATTGGAGTTCGAACGCAGTGGATATCTTGGCAGCTTTTTCAAACAAACTGAGATCGAGAAACTGTGAAATGCCGAACGAGCCGACCTCCATCATTTGCATTCCGTACATCTAAGACTCTAGAAGGGAGATTCTTAACTATGGAAATATAAGCGTTGCTTTCAAGTCAATGATCAAATAATTCTCCGTTGACGAATGTTAAAAAATAGTACTCAACCGGAAGAAGCAGTAGACATCATTGGCCGGATCAACGGTTCGAGCTGTGATTTCCGATAACTGTTGCTAACTGTTGTACATCATGACCCTATAAGGGCGAGAGAAATAAAACTTTTCAGAAGCGAGATATACAGGATAAGAAAGACCGAGCAGACTACTACTAACAGGTGAAGTGACTCTCTGAATGCTGGAAAAACATCTAATTAACGTATCACTAAATTATCGGAGGTCATTTCTATTCATTTTGCCGGAACGAGGTTCACTCCGACATCAGCAGCCAGTTTTAACATATCGTTCAGGTATCTGATGATTCAAAGAAAACATAACAAAAAATACAAAAACACAGCGACATGAAAATTTACAAGATCTGAAAAGGTTCAATAAACATTTGAAAGGGAAGCATTTTCCTTCTACAATTAAGGAACCACCGAAGATGTGCTAATTAGCATAATAAACGCGTACTAAACCATTCCTGGTCTATGACGATGCGTACATGTATCAGTTTCTAAAACATCGTCAGTTACGAACGAGGCATTTATTCAGTACAATCAGTAAAAATGCATCTTTAGGCAGAATGCAACATAGGCATCTGGACACATAGTAAAGAGTCATAACACTGTGAAACTTGATCTGGTCCGGTTAAATTTAGCAAGGAAACTTTTTAACGTGAGTGTGAATGCTGTAACCAACCAGTGTACTGAGTGAGACTTACAAGTTTAAGAAACAAAGAAACAGAACACTGAATTTATATAATTGACACTGACATTCAATGCTGAGCAAAGACAGACTGAAGAATGTCATTATGAACGTAACTAACCTTGTCTTTCAACTCCTCCTCAAGTTCCTCCACACGTTTCATTATCGCAGCGATGGCATCACTAACGTCCGGACGACGACCAGTCACCCTGATTTCGTCTGAGTGTGACTCGAATGCGGCGAACTGGATGTTGACGTTGTGGGCATTCATCAGTTTACGGATTTCAATGCCTTGTCTTCCAATGAGACTGCCGTGGAAGTCGAAGGGCACGTTCACCACTTCGGTAATGGGTATTTCTGCCTGAAAAAGAAGAGAAAGGATAGCTCATTCCATTTTTGTTTCATAAAACAAACTGTACCAAAAGCAGTTCGATTGCTTTGTCACAGTTTTCTTGACGACCCGTTATTCTCACGATGTCGTTCACGGCTGGGCTTGCAGTGCCTACTGTTCCTTCTTCAACATTTTCTTCGCCGGTTTCCATTGACTGCGCCGCTGAATGGTCCCTGGCTCTCTCAGGAAACTTGATCTGTACCTTACACTTCTGGCATAGGTCTTGGATATTGGCACCGCGATTACCCAATAAACTACGATAATGCTTTGGCGATATATGAACAGGAACAGTAACTTGAGCCTCCTAAACAAATTACCATATTTTCACGCCGCTCCAGTTAACTACAACGTGAATAATACCAAGTCGGCAACGATTTCTTCCATGCTTAATTTTGCTTGCTCAACGCACTCCTTTGGACCCTTTAAAGTCACCTTGCATCCACAATTGATTTTCGGAAAGATAATTGCAACCCCGCAGTTTCGCTCTTGAATTTCTCTCAAAGCATTCCTCGAACGAGACAAGAAATACTTATGCCACTTTGGATCAATATCCATCGTTATCTCGACTGACATATTCTAAAAATGTAAAACGAAAATAAATCGAACCCGAACTAAACTAAAAGTGTAAACAATTAATATACGCTGTTAATCAACGCTAAAAAGAGCCATTTCTACAAGTAATTCATACCAACTCATTAACCAATTCCTCCAACTGCTTTTTCACTTTTCCCACGTCATCCTTCCTACCAATCAGATGAATCGTTTCCTGATCTTCATCCTGCGGTCTAGGAATCAAAATTCGTATGCCCGGATAGCTGTCGCGGATCTGGCTGAGAAAAATTAAGAAAGAACAAAAATTAGCTCTTGTCTACTTTTTTGATGCGAGTACCGCCGCTGCCAATCAGATAACCAAACATTTCCGGCTTTGCCTTGACTTCTGCTGTAAAACTAGATGCCTCTCTGTCCTTAGCCAGATCAAGCAAAACCTTTTTCGCCTTCTCCACACCGTCCTTTGGACCTCGAATCGTAATACAATCGGAATGCGTGTTTTCCGGTGGAAACTTTATCTGCACGCCACCACAATCCTCGGATATCGAATGGATCAATCGGCCACCTGCGCTAATAAATCCGCTGTGCATTTTGTGCGGGATCTGGATTTCTACCGTAACAATGCTGGACTAAAAAATAAACATCTTTACAAAAATGTGACAGCAAACTTTTATTTAAAGTTTCGCCTTTCGTCCTTATTCGTCTTTCAAATATGCTGAATATCAAATAATCTTTTAAAAGCAAGCGTTCAACATAGGGGTGAGATGGTCTCTACCTGTTCAACGTCATCGAATAACAGACTTCAAACTAGTATTCAGACCATGTTAGAAAACAGGTGAACTTTTCTAGGCATCAACATATTGCAAACATTTTTCAGTCTCAACTATCGGTACACCTATTTAACATTACTGGTCTTACTAATTTCAACTAAACCCTGAAATATCGAAGTCTACTGTGATAAATATCTGAAGTTTCTTACGAGATATGAGTCTGGCAGATAACTATAGAGCGGGCTCATGTCATCTTAATGTGGTTAAGCGTGCAAAATGCTTCAGCGTAGATTCTGCACAGATGCAACACGCCCACAATTTACATATGCCGTAGATAAATGAAATTCATATTTAACAAAAACTATACCATAAGAGCAGACCATTTTAGACGTTTTTGACAAAACGTTAGGTGAGTTCTAGTGCAAGAGTACAACACACGGCTGATATCGCAATCTGATCGATACTGAACGTCTTGCAGATGTCGACCTATCGGTCAACTAACGGGAGCAAAGGCGAATTACTTGATCCCAACAGCAGAACAATGGAAAACGCACACTGTGAGTACTGACGATCTTTCGAAAAGCAGTGCCTGTCATCGCTCTAGAAACAGTTAAGGCGAGATGGCCATTTGGAATACGGATGGCAAGGAATCTACCTGTCATAAGGACAGCTATTATTCAACAGCTCTACCTGTCGTTTAAACTACTACGTGACTCGAACAAATATAAATGGAACAATATCGAATGAGCTTAACTCTCCCAGAATAGCTTTTCTGATGGTTAGACTGAGATGAGACAACGTACCCGCTCCTGGTCTGCTCTGTCAAGCCATCGACAGGAATCTTGAGAACAGACTCAACAGCTTCAGAGTATTCGTGCTCGACTCTACCTCAACGCATTTGAATAAGGCATATGACATTCTATCTCCAAAGTCGGTCGCTACCTCATTTTTCCACCATGCCTTAAATAAATAAAAATTGAAGGCCCTCTCGAAGCAGACTCAAAATAAGAACCTGAAAAATAGCGCACCTCCGCTGTCTCTGTTCAAGTGGGTATTCATAGCGTCAAACTTTTGGAGCAATTCGATCACCTCGAAAACTCAGAGAATTACTTAGGATGTTGCAGGTTTAAAGCGTGCCATCGTATTGGTAATGAACGCCATATCAATGGTCTATTAATCATCCGCTCTAAAGCAACGTGCCCAATATGGATCTATTCTGTATTTATCCTATGTTGCTGTATGGATCCGAAACCTGAACGCTACAGAAAATGGATGCCAGTAACCTACAGGCCATTAGACGAGTTCTAGACAAGACTAGGATATCAAAGAGATTACCAGATTGTAGATACTAAAGTGGATTAACTCGCAGAACTAACATCCACCATTAAAATGAGCAGAAGTCACACACCGCATGTTTGGTGAGAAAGAAGTTATTGCCAATATCCACTCACAACTACCTACTACGTCCGCCTCTAGTGACGCCACAGAGCAACACAGTGATCAAACTGCAAACAGCTTACTCAAACAGGTTCAGCAATTATGGATGGATTTAGCACGGTCACAGCAGGTACATAAACATCTTAATAGTGACCACGTGTGACTGAAGATCACAGATGGTGCTAATAAATGAAAAATAAAATTATGCAACAAAGTTTTTGGTTTTAAAATCTTAACAAAACTGATTTATCTTCAGATCTAAGAGCTGCACATTTTCTCTAGGCAATTAAATTTCTTTGAAATAAATTAGTAATAATTTAACGTACAAGTTCGTTCTGCATCTTTTGCAACAATCGCTCCGCCTTTTCCGCGTTCGCTTTCTTTCCAGTAATAATGATTACGTCGGACTCGGAAGATTCCGCTGGGATGTCAATTCTGGTGTTCGTTTCCTCACGAATCTACAGGAGAATGACGTAAACAAACAGCCAATTTAACGCTGACGTGAAACACGCACTTTTTTAATGTTTGCTCCTCCTTTACCGATAATATGCTTGAAGAAATCCTTGTAGATTGGTATGGATATCTGATAGTTACTTTCGATCTAAAGCAGAGCCATAGAAAATCAGAAAATAAAAGTTTTTCCTACCAATTCCTTATAGATCTGATGCATATGTCTGTAGCACTTGTCGACTTCATCTTTTGGACCCCGTAGTGTCACAACGTCTGACTTACGACCTGGATCAGGAAAGTTTATTATCACCTCAGGAAAGAGTTGATGAAGCTCCTTAATCGATTCGCCCTTAACTCCGATCAGTTGTTTGTGAAAACGGTTTTCAATCAGAATATCTCGCGATTTTTCGTTTTCCTGTAGGAAAGCATCAAAATTAAAAATATGCTTAACCTAATCGAAGAGTTACCTTTTTCTCAGCAAGGGCCAGTATCTCTTCCTTAGCTTTGGCAACGCCTCCTTTCGTTCCTTCTAGCCGAATTTCAGCAGAATGTGTATTTGGATCGGGCATCACTACGATAACACCAGTTTCTTGACGAATTCGAGCAACTAAAATCAAATCATCTTTAAAGAAACAAGTTCTGCTACCACAGATTAATAAGGAATATGACATCGAAATTTAACCTTGATTTTACACCACGAATTCATAAATCTTTCGATTTAATTATTTTCGGTGCCTTGTAAAGGCTGATGTCATGAAATTACACAGTTATCAACGTTTCGGCCACATAACAGCGGCTTCCTTCTAACAAGAAAATTTGTTTTCGGGTGCTACTGAATCTTTGCCCTAGAATCCTCCGTAGCATCATATCACTTCCTCTGATCGTTTCACGTGTCATACCATCTCTCCTCAAGTTCTTCCTTTCTTGATTCGCTTGACATGTCGAACTTATGAGAACTTTCACTTATGAGGACTGCGAGTACACTTCCTTCTGGTTATAGGAATGATAGTGTGGAGACGCGTGTCTCTGGCGCAAAAAACTGGGTATACAAGTTTTTGCAGATAGACTGTAACTCAGCTCCGTCCACTAATGCGCATTTCACGTTCTTCAGCGTCGTGAGAGTCGACTGACACGGCATTAGCTGTGTCCTACCCGTATAACACTTCTGCGCTATTCGGCGCTGTTTTCCCTAATTTTTTTCAGTAGGAAGGACCTGAAGTCCGGATTCAATTTCCATCTCTCTTCAACCACCTCCGCTTCTCTAGCAAACTTTTTCTTTCTTCTGAGATCCTTCATTTCGCTCTCTTTGATGTCACCTCGGCTAGTTTTTCGTCGAACTTCTCGTAGTCATTGTCGCAGATGCCTCGTCGAGCAACGTCAGCCGTTGTATGCAATCTGAGATGTTCAGTGCCTTCTCGATTTTCTCCGCCAGTCTGTAGTCAATGGCGGTGATAAATGATGGCATTACTGCTATGTTTCAAATGATGCAGCGTTCATCAAACAGGACGAAGTCGATCTCGCTCTTTGTCGCCATGTTTGCCATGAACCGTTCCCACTTCCTCACGGTTTTTTCTTCAACCAGGTCTTTCATTTCTGCCATGGTCACAAACCGAAATCCTCGCTCATTTCGCTCTTCGGTGCCGTACCTTTCGACAAACTTTTTACCGGCTCTTCCCCACCTGGCATTGAAGTACGAAGTGAGAAACGGCAGGGTAATTAGGTCCATTCATCCCTGTTGTAATAGTGCATGAAGTTCTGCAACGCAGTGGCACAGATGATGGTGGCCTAGGGTATTTCAAACAGACGAATCCCTCAATTTCGTCCGGTTTTTATTACGTTGATTCTTCTAATCTCTGACGCTGTCGTCTAACCGACGTCTAACTGCAAAACAGTCATGACATTGACGGCCTTTTTAATTCAAATTAAAGGGCGGGGCGCTTTCGTCTCAACACGAGATTGTCATTGGGCGCTGTCTTTTCTCAGAGAATTAAACCTGTCTGGCCCTAATGCCACCACGCTATGGTGGTCCTAACCCTGCATATCAACGACAGCTGATTTGTAGCAGCTAACCTCCGTATTCGGAGGTTGTTCTTCCATCCTATTTAAAAGTTAACCATTTATATTAATTAAACATGATTAATAAACCGAAAATTGCAGGGATATTACTGACAACTAGTTTAGGCCGTTAAAGTGAACTGATTCCACTTTGATGTTATATAAATATCCGCAAGAAAACTGTCAAACTTAAATGAAGCTTACTGTTTGTCCCGCTTCTGCCTATTATATGACCATGCAATGAAGGATGCACCACGGCTGTGTCAAAAGTCATCTCCTCTTCTAACTGCTTAACTCTGTCGGCAATGAAATCCTTGGTGCGCTTTACTTCCTCAGGAATGCCTTCCAACAGAACGTAACCTTCCTGGTCAAAGGTAACTTGAACCTAAAACGAAATATGTGAAATGAAACAATTTAAGAAAAAGCGTTCAATTCTAGAAACGTACACAAATGACTGTTTATGATCCTAAAGCTTTGAGGCTAAATTCTGAGGCAAAATAAACTATTAAATAAATTTCCAGTTCATGTGATGGAACGCAAACCTGGTTTTCCTTACAAAAATCATGAAAACGAATGTTTTCATAATGGCGGTATTTTAAAATAACTTAATTGGGAATTTTTCCAGTGACATTTCTGTCTGTCCTGTAGAGCTTGAACAGTGAATGGAACAGCTTCTCTATTACAAAGCTCAGTTTTTCTCCAATATAAATATCCACTATGATCGTGATTTTCGATGTTATGTTTAAAAACAATAAAATACTAGGATAAAGATACTTCTGATCAAACAGAATTTTTCATTTACGACTGGCACTGAAGGACAAGAAGAGATTAACTAAATCAAAGAAATCGTTTTAGATAATGCTACTCGTGCGGGATGATAATCAAAAAATACAGTAAAGCACCTGGAAGTCATGAGCAGCCTTGCATGCATGAAAGAGTCTAAAAAAAGATATGGAAACTTGTGGCGACAAATTGGCTCGAGACAGAACAGAGTGGGCAGCGACAAAAGGCAATACTATCACCGTAAATCACAAAGGATCAATCAATTGCTTATGCCACAAATGTGGTAATAACTTTCCTCAAGCTTCTCTTGGAAGGAAAAACTGCTGCATATAGCTGAAAGGTAGACTGCGGCAAAGGAAAAAATCTGCTTGAATGCATTATCGTGAAACAAAATTAAATTACGACCTTTTCTCAAAATAGGTCTTACAAAATAGAAACCTCATATTCGTTTAATAATATAAACAGTGATTAATTCTTATTTTTGTTTTAAAAACGCTTTACTGATTCTGTAAATGTCGCGCACGATCTTAAAATATACAGCTCTGCATCAAATTTGCTATCAAAATGGACACCAGGTATATTGATAGGGTTATGCGACCTGTTTGACTGCTCTGCGCACACAACAGGGGAAGACTTAACATATTTTCTAAGCAAGACCTTCGTCGAAATTTTGAACGAGTCTGTTGTTAACAAACGCGAAGGAGCATCAAGTAAAACAGCAAAATAAAAGGTTTGGGGGCGGAGCAAAATTTTGCCATACGAAACAAACAGCGGGTTTTGAAAACGGTTGAATGAAAATTATACTTTAAAAACAGAAATTTTATATACCTTTGAATGATCACCGATGATTTGTCTAATTCCGGAACCTTTCGATCCAATGATGTACTTATGCAACCATACAGGACAAGAAATTTCGGCTGTAATAATGCTGCTTGCCTAAAAATAATTGTTAAAAAGTTAAAAGAAAATGTCATGAACAGCAAGAAAGGCAATCAGGTAGATCGGTCTATCAGCTGTAGGCTACCATATCGAGCCCGTGCTGTGCATGGTAAAAACTTTCAGCTATTTATCTTCATTTTCAAAAAAAACTGTACTGAAAATTAATTAATATGTAAATACCGCATTTCTTAGATTCTATGACTCATTTTTCTTAAATAAATGTTTCTACAAATAGGTTGAGCCTTAAAATCGGGTTTTTTTGAATTTTCCCGCGCTCTCAATACGGCACTACACTTTCTATGACTTTGTTCGTTGTCGCATTCTCCAATACAAATGAAGAGTAGAACAGCAAGGGTGTTTTCCCGCGCTTTCCAAAAATGAAGCCACCGTTATTTCATTATAATGGAGCTCAATCATCGACAACTAAGAAGTTTTGGTTGTTCTTCGAAAGTATGTAAAAAGTTGAGTTAGTGCATTTCATTCATTTTGATCCCTTAAAAGATATCAAAATTCTGTTAAAAATTGTACTACGAAGCCGCGTTAAAACGAAAGTTATTATGCATGCAGAAGAACATGGAAATATAGCTGTTGGTTGACATTTTGACAGTAGTGAAGTAAATGTTCGCTGGCAATTCCATATTTTCGTGCGCTGTAATAATCAGGTGCTTTACAGGGCGTAAGAAAAAGATTTCCACAAGTCGATGAAGCTGTGATGTTTTGCAAGGGCAATACGCGAAAAAGATTAACCATCACTCGAAAAGCCATGCAACTGAAAGCCAGAGAAATTGTGAAGTCTGAATAGAGGAAATAAGTTTTAAAAGAAGTCGCGACTCGTACAACAGACTCATGCTTCGTAGCACGGTATCGTTAAAGCGCCTAACAATAATCTGTCAAAAAATTCCTGCAACTTTCCACAGAAGCTGATTAACTTTCAGCGACGAATGATCAAATTAAAAAAAAAAGAAACTGAGTTTAGTAAAATAAGATATGCTCATGAAAAACTGGTCTTCTTCAACATGCGTCGAAGTTACACCGTCAACGCTAAAGGTGCTTAAAAATTAAGAATATAAACACGGTCTATGAAAAGTAGCGCATCACCGCTAATGGTCGAAAGTTGCGCCAGTATTAATTTTAAATCGAAAAGCCACACCGAAGAATGAAATTTTCCTCAAAGACGTTACTGCGCGTGCACGAAAACAATAATGAACGAAGAGAGCCGAAGGAAGACTGAAAATGTTGTTTGGAACGGACGTCCTGGAAGTCTTCGTAACCCATCTAGCATGATGGCACTTGACGTCTTTCATAGACATTTGTTCGAATAGGTCGAAAATCAAGTCGTTTGATGGTGGCATGACTAACTGCAGCCACTCGACGTTACTGTAAACAAACCATTTAAGGATTACTTCAAAAAGGAATATTAATCCTGGATGTTGATCGACAACCTTCCGCCGACATCTCTCCAAAAAATTAAGAGAGCGCCGGCATCAAAATTGCAGAATGGGTATCAACAGCTTGGAAGATAATCCCAGTACTCACTTTAAAAAAAATTTCATCACCAAAGCAATCAATGGCTCAGAATTCGATATATTATGGGACAATGAAGACAGACGGCCAGAAGAATCAGACAGATTCAGAAGTAAGTGATGATAACACACCGACTGATAAATAAGCACTACCGTTGTTACTAAACTGAATTCTGTTATAGCAAAAATACTTCAGGGTGTTACTTTTTTCTTACAATCAAACCTTTTTTGTTGGTGGTACTGAAATTAAGGTGCGACTTAGAACGGAGAAATACGATATTATTTGTAATTTCTGTCTAAACCATCATAATTTCTATGCCCAAAATTCAAAATTGTCTTCTTCCTTAGTACTTACATTCATGAAAACTGCATCTCCAACAAAATTTATTTTAAGAATTGGCGCAACATAACAACTTGGGAGTTTATTGAAAGTGCACGCAATTTTCAAGCGTAAATGTGGAAAAACCTAGCAATGTGTCCAACAGACGCCCCTGCCATATCCATCGGGTCGTATATTCGAAACACATTGGTAATGTGACAATGGACACCGAATTATCTTTAATGCGCGTCCTCGAAATCGCCGAGACCTGAAGGCACACCTATGGTTGACGTAACGTTCCCCACCGATCGATCATGTATACACGATGTTACGATATTATACGATATTAAAACAAAGAAGACATCGAGAAAAATTCAATTAAAATAATCATTTGCATATCCCGCTATACTTTTATAATTGCGGGCGGAGTAGCTTAAAGTGGTTTCTCCAATGACTACGGTTCTCAGCAAATCGTGAAAGTTCTACGAAGTGGATTCCATGATGCAACCATGCCAGGTAAGCAATACATTTCAGCCACTTTACCACAGGTCTATGCATTCTCTGGCCGATATGAGCTTTCGAAAGAATGTAGGTCTTGCAACCCTCTGGCCCTGACCCCAAATCCATATCACCGAAGTTGTAATCTCTAAACCTAAAGAAGCAGCAAACAGTAATTACCAAATCGATGTTTCTACAGGATGACAAGGTGATAGTAATCTGCAGCTTTCAATGAGTAGCAAATTTTCAATTTAAATTTCAAACTAGAAGGAACGAACGTGGATGCTTTATGAGAACACATCGACAACTGTAACCGAGTAAGTAAAGTAAGTTTACATCAATCTACCATCAAAAACCGAGTGGGTGAAAAAACACGAAAGAAACAATTGCCAAATCATGATCAAGTTCAAGAGCTGAGTTTTTTTAAACTGTATCTGTAAAAATACGTGCTACGAATTTCCTGACTGCTTGACACGCACCAACATGAACGTTAAATAAAACACCGAACTGACCTTAGCCAAAACCATCGTGGCAGCCAAACCCAATTTGTCTTTGTCACCACGTAGAGTAATTATGTTCGACTTTGACTCTTCTGGTGGAACTTCTACGCTGACTCCTGTCTCGCGGAGGATTTCGGTGATACCAGCTCGCTGCGGTCCAATTATATAGCGATGCTGTGACACGGCTACGTTGAATTGCACCGTTCCGATGGTCGCCTTCTGAAATGAACAGAAAAATTGCAAAACGATTTTGTAGTTTTTAATCATCGACACCTAAAACTGCACTGCCAACGAAGACCATTTCAAAAGGCAAACTTTACCTTCTCTTCATAAATCTCTCTTATTTCATTGGCTGCCTTGTACACGCCGGTCTTTTCGCCAGTTATTATTATGACTTCATTATTAGCAGATCGAGGTGGGATGTTGACTCGCACCCCATTTTCCTGGATGATTCGGTCTACCGTTTCATTGTTCGGACCTTTGATCCAAGGATAGTATATCTTCGGAATAAGCAAATGTTCTTGAGCCAGCTTCGACTGCTCATCAGCGAACTTTTGAATTTCGTGTATCGCTTTGTCGATACCTTCTCGAGGTCCCATTATTTTTATCACATCCGATGCTACATCACGATTTGGCACAAGAATTCTACAATCGGTAGATTTTTCCAGCTCTTGTAAATGTCTACCTTCTCTACCTATAGTACCAGTTCAATGGTAGTGGTCTACCACTAGTACCAACAAAACCTTACCAATTAGAGCACGATGATATTCTTTTGGAACTTTAAATTCACGATTTGCTTGGGTCTGCAGTGACTGAACAATCAGCTTACGAGCCTCTTCCACTGCCTGTCTTTTGCCAGACACAACTACCGTAAGACTATGGTCTTTGTTTTGACATAGCTCGATGGTCGTTTCTAAAATTTTCAATTAACAAAAATTTCATACCAAACTACATAAAGCTGCATCACCAATCACTGTTGCCCTTCCTCCCCAATACTTTCAGAGCCACAGGACCAAAAGTGACTACCGCAATGCCCAAAACTGAAGACGAACTATGTTAGTCATTTTATTCATGAATATAACTGATCTGCTGTATTGATAGTAATAGTAGTCGAAATGAACAATTTATCCTTCGCTACAAAAACTCAGTTTGACGTTCCTGCGTGTACGAAGGACTAATCTGAATGAAAAATGTCAGAAGGAACAGAATTTAATTTGCGACTCAAATAATGAAATATTAATAAATAACAATTGCACAATCTATACAATCAATAAAGTGCCCGAAACAAGTCTTCAATTTAGCTAGAAGGTAAAAACAACTATGAAATCAAGGTAAAGTGTCGAAAAACGTTTTAACACCTCCCATCAATTTGGCAAATCCGCCCAATCCAGATTTGTCAGTTAGGAACAGAACCCGTTCAGAGGCTTAGCAACAATTTATTCGATTACGAACTAAGTTGTTACGAACGAAACGCGGTAAATTTATTACACAAAACTGACAAAAAATCGGTCATCATTGCAATGAACCGTGCAACTGAAGTTATGTTGCTTCTGTCCATTGGCTCTCATTAAGTCCTTCAGAGAAATGGCAGGAACGACCAGCATAAATATCCCCATTTGATATTCGCCCCTGGTTTCACGTCTCACCATCAAGTACATTACTAAAGCACTCTTACTAGTTTTGCCCATGATTGTATTGCATTCTTGTTGTTCCTGGTTCTTTTCCCCAAACGCATGGTCGCTTTCATCTCTGTAACGACGTTCTTCGCTGGGTATGTGAAAAATCTGAAAACCTTTCGCGGTTAACTTTAATGTTAACATGAAACTGGTCGAAAACTTCAAACAATATACAGTTACTTTCGAGCTGTGATTCTATTCAGATATAAAAGATGTCGAAAAGAGAGAGAACAAGAAAACAAAAAAGTCTGTAAGTGTGGAATATGAGATATTATCCCCAGTAATATTTCCACAATGGATCTTATACACGCGCAACTTGTTTCATGGAGTTTATGGAGTGGCACAAAATTCGGTTTTTAAGCCATCAGTCTGGAATGAATACCTGTTTAACGTAGTATTCAGAACTAAGTGGTGACTACAGGATGAAATCTCTTTCTCTCTCTCAGACAATGATATTCATTGCTTCAGGTGGACGAGGGTTAGTACTCCACCCGGGAACTCGATCTATAATCTTTAGACTAAAAGCTCCTGAGCTCGATTCACCTTCGAGTTTGACTTTAAAGTTCTTAACAACAAAAAATTGATGAAAAGACGAATTATGACAGCCTCTGAAATAAAGGGCTAACATATATGCTATTGGAACCTGTCAAAAAGTTATGGTTTTACAACGGACACTAAGAAAACTACCTTAGAAAAATAACGCTATTAGAAAGGCAAAACTGGCGACAACCCCATTTTTATCTTTGAACAAAACATAATGAAATCATCGTATAAACTACTCCATAAACAGCAGAGGATTTCCATACAACACACGATGCAAAAGATTTAGCAAACACGAACTGCCAAATAAATTTTCGGAATGATTTTCCCACATACGACTACGTCAGCTACACGTTTTTCATACGATAAACATAGCTGACTACATTTAAAGTTTGACAAACCATGATTCACTGTTTCAAACTACGAGAAAAATATGAGAAAGTAAAGTGCGAGAAAATGCTGGTCTGCCATTACAGTTAATGCTTAAGTATAGAAATCATTTTCGCTTAACCAAAAACTCTTTTAATATGATCCAAGCTACTCTGTTTTATGCATTTCGGTAATTTTCTTTGCTTAGCAAAAAATTAACGACAGCATTAATTTAGCAGCTGCTTTTCGATATTAAACAAAGTATATGCCCACAAAGAGTAATTGTAAAAAGCGAATGATCAGAAGAACGATTTATCAAATGATTTTTAATTGAATTTCAAATTATTTGACAGAAATTATGTTCTCTTAAGGACACATTAAGCAGTGCAAGTAGAGAAGAAAGCGGAAGACTATATAACGAGGTATCTACTGAGACATAAACCTGTGTTTAAATATATCGAATTCTTGGCTGGCGGCATCGAAACAAAGATCAGGTTTCACCAATGATGTAAGGAATATCAGTCTTGAAAGTGACATGCAAACCAGCATATTTATGTGGCAGCAGCTTTTATCCGCTTCAAAAGATGAAATCGAACGATAAGATAGGGGTTAAAAGTTCAATCTCGGGGTTTCGCCCTACCACTTGTCATCCATCGTCACCTGTGTTATCCAAATGCTTAAATCTTATATACATAAAATTTGACAGCAACCACTACTGATTTAGAGATTTTGGGAACGACCGGCCTCAGAATAATTCTAGAGCTCAACTGACATCAGTTTTTGTCAGCAGCAGTGATAGTTCATCATTGGCAGCCGTTAGTATTGCCCATAATCAGCAGGTACACTTCTGCCTAGTCTTTGTATACAGTATCTATCTGCGGGGAAGATTTCTAACTCAACATGGCATCTTTCCCTTGGTTCTGCGTCACAGAAACGATTAACTGTACAAGCTAGGCAATTCTGTCACACTTCGTCACCTACAAACGTTGAGTAAAGATGGGACAGAACGTCTAAGTCAAACCACCGAAGTGCCTCTTAGAAGGAAATCTCATGTAGCCACGGGACGAAATTAAATAACTGTGCTGCGACAAGTCTTTATCCGTTTCGCGACAAGAAACTTTATCCGTTCTTCTTCTTACCCCGTTTCATCTAAGAGATACTGTTTTAAATACTTCCGAATTTAAACAATCAATTTATCAATCTATTTCCAAATATA